TGCCTCAGTTTCCTCACGTGAGGCAGCCTCATGAACAAAGTGTGTGTGAGAGAAAGAGTGACCATGTGTATCTCAGTATGTGTGTGTCCGTGTGTGCATTTGTGTCTGACTGTGTGTGCATGTGTCTGAGTATGTGTCTATGTGTGCATTTGTATCTGAGTGTGTGTATGTGTGTCTGTGAATTTGTGTTTGAGTGTGTGTCTCTGTGTGAGTGTGTATCTGAGTGTGTGTCTGTGTGTGCCTTTGTGTCTGAGTATGTAAATGTGTGTCTGCATGTGTGTATGCATGTGTGTCTGTGCATGTGTGTCTATGCATGTGTGTATGTGTGTATGCATGTGTCTGTGCGTGTGTGTGCATGTGTGTCTATGCATATGTGTGTGTGTGTGTGTCCATCCTCTGGCACCATTCCAGCGGCTCCGCAGCAAACTTTATGAGATGGCCACTCTGTGCCAAAACTGGAGGTGCAGAATAAATGTGACCAACAAAGTTGGCTTTGAGAGAGAAATGCAGGGGCACACACTAGGACTGTGCATGTGTGTCTGTGTGTGAGTATCTGAGTGTGTATGCAGGTGTGTCTGAGTGTGTGTGCATTTGTGTCTGAGAGTGCGTGCATGTGTGTCTGTATACATTTGTGTATCTGAGTATGTCTCTGCAAGTGTGTGTCTGTGTATGCGTATGTGTGCATGTGTGTGTGTGCGTGTGTGTCTGTGTATACATTTGTGTGTCTGAGTGTGTCTGGGCATGTGTGTCTGTGTATGTGTGTCTGTGTATGTGTGTGTGTGTGTGTGCATGTGTGTCTGTGCATGTGTGTGTGCATGTGTGTGTGTGCGTGTGTGTGTGTGTGTGTGTCCGTTCTCTGGCACCATTCCAGTGCTCCTCGGCAAACCATTATGAGATGGCCACTCTGTGCCGGGCCTGCAGGTGCAGAATGAATGTGACCAACGAAGCTGGCATTGAGAGAGAAGTGCAGGGGCACACACAGGGGCTGTGCGTGTGTCTAAGTGAGTGTCTGTGTGTGCATTTGTGTCTGAGAGTGTGTATGGGTGTCTGTGTGTATATTTGTGTGTCTAAGTGTATCTCTGTGTGAGTGTGCGTGTGTGTGTGTCTGTGTCTGTGTCTGTGTGTCTGTGTCTGTGTCCGTCCTCTGGCACCATTCCAGCGGCTCCACAGCAAACCATTATGAGATGGCCACTCTGTGCCGGGCCTGAAGATGCAGAATGAACGTGACCAACGAAGTTGGCATTGAGAGAGAAGTGCAGGGACACACACAAGGGCTGTGCGTGTGTGTGTGTGTGTGTGTGTGTGTTTGTGCTAAGCCAAGTGTCATAGGGTAAACTAAGGCAGTCACTGGGCTTAGGTATCTTAGCTGCCTTTCACTCTAGGTGTAATCATTTGAGTGCTGCCCCCCCTCAAGGCCAAGCCTTATCTTGCAGCCATCTAGCTGTCCCCAGAGCCTCGGCAGCAGGCTGCACAGGTAAGGCACATGTGAACTGTGCCTCACACATGACTCTGGGGAGAGCCGGAACCCATGGAACACGCTGCTGTTCTGTGAGGTCCGTTCTCAGTGTGTATGGCTGGAAACAGAAGGAGTCCCTGTGCTGTGATTTATGTAAAGCAGGTGTGGTGGGCCCAGGCCCGCTCAGAGCGAGCGCCAGCCCCGGCTGGCCGCCTCGCGTCCTAAGCCAGTCACTCAGCTCCTGGACCCCTGGAGCCTGAGGAACACAGCCGCTGCAGTGTCTGTGTGCTTTCCTTCTTCCCCTTCTAAACCTTGGCCAAGGAGGAAAACCCCCATCTTCCCTTCTCTTCCCCCACCCACCCCCGCAAACCATTGCTCCTAAATTGTCCTCCACAGCTCTGCAGACAAAATCTAGTTTCTTCCTTTCCGATGATCCGAGGTAGCGGTACGGGCTCCAGCACTGTCGTGGCGGGAGGAGAGGATGGGGTTCAATCTTAGTCTTAAGCCCCTACTGTGGAGAGGAGATGAGGGGGCACCAGAAGTGCCTACTCAACACCCACCTCAGCCCCACGCAGAACAACCTCACACAGACCGCGCCCCACACGTCCAGACCCTGCCCAGCACAGCCAACTCCATCAACAGGTTTGGGGAGGGGGGTTCAAGTGCCCCCCTGAGTCAGGCAAATCAGGTTAGGGTGCAAATAGAGTCCTCCCATGCAGAGGCCTCGGGCTTCACCAGCACTAATTTTCAAACTAAATAATCAAATCTCTTTGGAAGAGCTACAAGTGGCCTGGCCATGCACCCATGGAAGACTCGGAGCGCAAAGCAGATGAATGACATAACCACCTGTGCCCCAGGAGAGCTGGCTGTGCCGTTGGGCTTCCTGGTTATCAGGACACTGGCCATGCCCAGAGCACCCAAGACAGGGGGAAAGACACCTGGGTAATATCCTTCCAAGCCTTTCTCCAAGGCTTGGCCACAGATTCAACCCAAAGTGGTAAATGTATATGTTTTGAAAATCCATTTCACAGAGTGATAATAACTCCTGTGAGAAGCAACGATCCTTAGCAGACACCCAGCGCTAGGGACTCCTGTTACAGTTTTGGAGTCTGGTGCAAAGTTGCCACATATAATAGGAATCACTGAAGGGTGGATTAAACATAACAGTGACCTGAGTCGTTAATGTCACTGTCCATAGAAGACAGCGTCCTGGAGGGTACGGCTTGGGGCTGGTTTTTGTCATAGGTCTAAGAGCACCTTCATTTGCATTTCTACTTAAAAAATAACAAACAGAATTAACTGGAAAGGTGCTTGGTTTCTTAGACATTTAAGCACTTTGACTGAATACCTTCTTAGGCCAAAGAACATGAGGCTGGATTAAGTAGTCATCCAAGAAATGCACAGTGCCTCACCGCTGTGGGTGTGTAGATCCCACCAGCACCCCCGAGTGCATCTGAATATATGTACGTGTGAGTCTATGTGAGTCTGTACACATGTGCACCTTGTGTGTGCACGTGTGCACATGTGAATATGTATGGGAGTACGTGTGTGAGTGTGGATGCACATCTGTGCATGTGAATGTGTGCCTTGTGTGGGCATGTGTGCGTAGGAGTGTGTGAGTATGTATACATAGGAGTGTGTGAATGTGTGTGCTTGTGTGTGCACATGTGTATACACAGGTGGGGATATGCATGTGTGTGCATGTGTGCATGCGAGAGGGGGTGTGTGCTGTGGATGTATGCATGTATGTCCATGTGCATGTGTGTGGGTGCATTTTCTGACCTTCTTTTCAGAAAATCAGTGGAAAATTTCCTAAAGGAAATAAGAACCCCGGCATTTCTTTTTCAGCGGCCCCTGCACTGGGTGAGGAGGTAGGGAGCAGACGTGGTGCTTCGCTACATTCTCTGCTGATTTAACCATGAGACCAGAACCACCTCGTTAAGGACTTCATCCATCGCAATCGTCTGTTTTTTAGGAGAAATCTGGAACATGTCTGGGTTCGCTTTTAGCTAGATGTGTCCCTCAAGCCTTGGGAGCCACCAGCCAGTCCTTATGCTGGCTGACTCCAGAACAGCCTGCTGACCAATCTCACCTGTCTGGGCTTTTCTCCCCTTCCTCCCTCTCCCCCTCCCTGGGGATGGAGCTTGAGGGTCCTCAGCTCTTCAGAGAACAACCCTGGCCCCCGGCCTCCAGCCCTCAACAAGCAAGTAACTTGCACAGCTGCAGACCAGCAACGCCGTTTGAGGACAGAAATGGCAGCAATGATCAACGGGTCCTGTCTGAGGCTGGCACGCGGCGGGGAGGGGTGGACTGGGCTGTGCGGCCATGCGGGGCAGAGTGTACGGGGCCAGCTTGGCAAAGCTGGCTCTGGATATGACAGAAGGAAGTGGGTTGCATGAAACACATACATCGATGAATTAAACATCTCAAACATGATGACTCTTAAAAAGTCTTTTCAAGGAAGAAGGAAAGACAGGCCACCCCGGGCTACGCTTCCTGTTGCATATGACATGGAGCGATCCTTAGCTTTCCAGACAAAGAACAGTACCAAAAGCAAACTAGAGAAGGTCCAGAGAGGTAAAACCAGAGGGGCAGAAGTGGGAAACGAGGATCATCTGCTCAGAGCCCAGGGGCAACATGGACTACAGAGACCCAGTACGGATGGGGCGGAGGCGCCGCACTGGTGAGGCAGTGTGCCAACCACAGAGCCACCACCTGCCAGCCCTGCGGTCCTCTCCACCATAACCACTGGCCCCAAAGGACCTGCTCAGATCCCCACAGGTCTCCCGCAGAGTGTCTGCAGTGTCTTCCACCATCCCCCAGCCTCAGTGGGCCGCCATCCAAGGGACCCACCAGAGACCTTGCTCTGTGGACAGCGCCCTGGGTGCAGAATCTGGGGGGGGGGAGGTGTTCCCATGTTGTTCCAACAGGACCTTGTCCCCAGAGGGAGCTAACTGTCCCCAGTTTGGGGTGATGTCCAGACCAAGTGGGCGACAGGTGTTCCTCTGGGTGCCCAGAGCAATTCCCCTGAAGCCATCTCCAACCCAAGCTCCCTCCGAGGAGCAAACCCTCCCTCCTAGGGACCTGATGCTCCAAGAACTCTGAGAAAAGGGGAGGGGGGATGTGGGTGCTGAAAACCGGGCTCAGAGAAGACTAAAGGGACCCCAGGCCATAGAGATCAGTACTCCCTGCCCCACCCCCGACAGCCTAGGAACAATCTCCTGCCATCCCAGGTGTCGGGACACCTTAGGTGCCAGGCTAGCTCTCTCCAATTTTTCCCCAGAGGTAGTCAGTGCAAGCCCTGGCGGCCGGCGCGCGGGCCAAAGTGGCGCCTCTGCCCCGCGCCCGCCCGGGGTTCACTGGGGAGGAGCAGGATCTTCTCCTCCCACCTCCCCCCCCCCCGCCCCCGTAGAGAATGGGGCCTGAGACCGGGAAGGGGGGGATATCCCCACCAAAAAGTTGTGTTTCCTTGCCCCCCCCGAACTTTTCCCGGGGCACGCGGGGCGCACCGGCGGCTCCCCGGGGCTCCCCGGCGGCGGCTTACCTATGGTGGTGATGACGGTGATGGCGAAGTAGAAGGAGCCGGCGAATTTCCACTGGACGCCGGCGCGGTGAGGCTCGGACTGCAGGATGACCAGCTCGAGCTGGCGGTAGTCATCGGTGCTGATGTTGTACTTGCCCCGGATGCGGACCTCCTCCGCCTTGAGCTTCTCCTCCTCGCGCATCTCGTGGTCGGACTCGAGGGCGTCGAACACGGCGGCGCCCACCAGCAGGTAGGTGAAGGTGCAGGCGATGAGCGACAGGGTCCGCACGTTCTGCCGCTTCATAGCGGCCATGAAGGAGCCGGCGAGCGGGACGTGGCCCACCGCCTGGCAGCCGCGCCGGTCCCACTGCAGCACCCGGCGGACGGCGTTGCGCCCGTGCTTGCTGGCGAGTTTCAGGCCGTGGCAGCAGCAGCAGCAGTAGCACCAGCCCGGGAACCTGATGTGGCCCCCGAATCCCGGGCAGTGGCCTTCCCCGTGCCCCTCACACTCGCCCTCGCACTCGCCCTCGCCCTCGCCCGCGCTCTCGCCCGCGCCTTCGCCTCCGCCTTCGCCTTCGCTCTCGCCTTGAACTTGGAGCTCGTCGCCG